TAAAATCAGTGATTTGAGTATATTTATGGAGTGGCGCAACCTCCACCAAAATAGTGATCACAGAAATAGATGAGAACATTTCATCTCTTCTGAAGGAAACCTGCGCCCACTGCAGCCACGCCCACACTCTCCTTCCACTCGCCATTTCCAGCCTAAGATACCACTGATCTATTTTCTCATTTTCTATTTGTCTGTTCTGGACATTTATGTAAGTGGAGTCATAATCATCATGATGTGATACATTATGACTGGCTTTTTCCATTTTCCATGATGTTTTCAAGGTTCATCCACGTGGTAACACGTATCTTTTTTAATGATAAACAATACCCTATTTATGGATGTACTTCTGTGTGTGCGTGCACACACTTATGAATCTGTGTGTCTGTGCCTGTGTTTGTCTATCTCATCAAACCCAATGACATTAAACCTCTCAGCTACACCCCTGGACCTTTTTTTATCTTCTATTTTGAAATGGAGCCTTGTTAAATTGCATAGGTAGAACTCAAATTTGCAGTAATCCTGCCTCAGCCTCCCAAACTGGGAATCCAGATGTTCACTACTGTGTCTGGCTTATACTTCTTATTTAAATTTATTTATTTATTTATTTGGTACAGGGTCTCACTACACAGCTCAGACTCATAGTGATCCTCCTGTCTCAGCCTCCCTAGTGCTGGGATTACAGGCATGCACCACCACACCTGGTTTTCGGGGCCAGCATGGTGTACCTGAGGTTCCAGGGCTAGCACGGCATGTGGTACTGGGGATTGAACCCGGGTCTTCATGCTTGCCAGGCAGGTATTTAGACAGTGGAGCTATCTCTCCTGTCTTATACCTTTTTTTTGTTTTGTTTTGTTTTGTGTTTTGAAGTAGTATCTTGCTATGTAGCTCAGGCTGGTCTTGAACTCATTGTGTATCCCAGGCTGGTTTCAAACTCACAGATCCTGCTGCCACAGTATGCTTCATTTTTCAGTCCATTCACCAACTGATGACCACTCATATTTGTACTCATCGGCTTTTCTGGTTTGGGCACACACAATTTAAAGTAGAAAGGCTTAAACCCTCAGTTTCAGAGGGTTCAATTGACAGTCTGCTTACTTTAAGGCAGAAGCAACACAATGGAGGAGATCTGCTTACCTCAGGGCAGACAGGAAACAGGCAGACAGGAAAAGAGCCAGAGGAAGAGGACAAGGACCACAGTTCCCAAGGTCACACCCCATGACCACCTAGACACACCCGGCAGTGTGCTTCCTAATATCCCTCAGGTATCTCCAGGAAAGCAAGTTGACACTGAGGATTAACTGTCACAGATTAATCTTTTGGGGTGTTATATATAATGTATGAACATTTGTGTGTAAATTTTGGGGTGGATCTGTGAACATATGTGCACTTCTCTGGCTGGGTCGTAAGATCTCACACTCTTTCAGGCTGGATGTGGTGGTGCATGCCTGTAATCCCAGCACTTGGAGGCTGGGGCAGGAGGATCACCATGAGTTTGAGGCCATCTTGGGCCACATAGTGAATTCAAAGTAAGCCCAAACTACACTGTAGACCCTGTCTCAAAAACAAAACAAAGCAACAAAAAAACCCCCACAAATTATACTCTCTTTTGCGAGGTACTAGAGATTGAACCAAGAGGCTTTGCCTTTAGCTATATTCCCAGCCCTTTTTTATGTTGAGATAAGATTTTAAGGCTAAATTGCCCTGACTGGGCTCAAATTTGTAATCCTGCTACCTCAGTCTTCCAGAGTGCTTGGATTATAGGCATGCACTACCACACCTTGGCTACATCTTACTCTTAACCACTACATATTTCAGCTGGTTTTACTCTCCACTAAATGTATTTATTCAGCACATTATCAATACTACTAATAACCACGCCTATCTATGGGCTAAACTGCAAAGCCTGAACTCTGATGTTCACAAATCCTCAACCCTACCAAAGAGGAATCATTATCCTCATTAAAGACTGCAGCTCGTGGAAGTTAAGTGAATTTGCCTAAGCTCAGCCAATCAGGGGAGGAGCTGGGACCACAACGCGCATCCACCAGCTTCTGTGACCTCTTGCCTGATACCACACTTCCCAAAGCTTTCAAAACATGTCTTCTTCCCTCCTTTCAGGCCTTTTCTGGAAGCCAGGCTGGCTCAAAATCCCTAGGCTCCCTAGGCTCTTTTCTCAAACTGGGGCTGAAGGCCAGAGGCGTGGCTTCCTGGGAGCTGGAAATAAAACGGAGGAGACCTGGGCTGTGCAGCGCATGCAGCAAGGAGGCTGGGCTGTGAGGGGGAGGTGAGGATTGGGCTTTGTGCTCCTGAGTAGATGTGCAGGGCTCATCGGTCTTACTAGGGATGGAAAAAGAATAGCACTCTGCAGGGAAGAGGGTTTTCGGAGAGTGATTTTATCTGTCTGCATGCCTTGCTCTACGGCCTGCTCTCCCTGTGCAGGGAGTTGAGCCCAGGGAAGTCGCCCACTGGCCAGGACCCGGGGGCAGGGGGCTAGAGTAGGACTGGGCACTGATGCACACTTGGTGAAGAGGGGCAGGACGGAGAGTCAGAGTCATCTGCGAGCTTTTAAGGAGCAGAAAGCAGTGAAACTGGGACCTCGAGGCTACAAAAGCTGAGCTCTGGGTCTGAGAAAGGAGCTGCAGCACAAGGCTTGGGGCTCGAAGGAGCTGCTGCATAGAGAATTGGGGGGCCTCGGGCTACCTGCCTAGCTCTGTGCTGTCCACTATGAGTGCTGGGAACTCGCAGCCATGGTGGATATTTAAATTAAACTTTTGTAAAAAAAAAAAAAAAAAAAAAAAATTAAATGGAGCTCCTTAGTCATATTAGGCACATTTCAAGTGCTCAGGAGCCCCTGTGGCTAGGAGCCTCAGTGTGTAGCAGTGTGAACACAGCCTCCATCAGCCCAGGAAGCCTGCTGGGCCAGTGGGGGTTCAGGGCCTAGGGCTGGGATGGTTGCTCAAGGACCCGCAGGAGAGAGCAGTTCAGACCAGACTGGCTGCCTGGGAAGTCTTTGGACTCTAGGTGACCTTCACGTCCCCAGAGGTGTAAGGCGGTGTGACTCACCTCCTGCCAGCATAGAGTGGACTCTGACCCCAGGGATAGCGGAAACCCAGGCAGGGCCTCTGCAGCCGGACTCAGGATCTCTGCTCACTGTGACGAGCGCCAGGGCAGAGCACCATGGAGTGAGTGGCGCAGGCTGTGGGCAGCTGCTGAGTGGGACCAAGCTGCACACAGGGGTGGAAGGGAGACTCGGACTTGGTCATGTTGCATGGAACTGAACCAAAGGCCTAGGGAGGAGTGTGTGTGTGTGTGTGTGTGTGTGTGTGTGTGTGGTGTGAAAGAGAGACGGACAGATGAGAGAGAGAAGAGATCAGGGCAGGGTTCCAACAGCCAGACGAAAGACGGGAACCCTTCCTCCTCACCCTAACCGGAGCCTTCCTCCATATTCTCAGGTCTGATGCGATCCAGCTGACAAGGATGGACTATGCCATGAAGTCCCTCAGCCTCCTCTACCCCAGGTCTCTGGCCAGGTGAGGACAGCCCAGGGAGGAAGACAGGGGAACTCCCTGTGAGCTGTAGGGTTGAATTTGTTACACTGTAATAGCGTAAGTCCTGTGGGGATCTTATTAGAGCCCCACTTCAGACATGGGAGGGCTGGAGTAGAAGTGGCGATTCAGACCTTGGAGGGTGTTAATAGTGCCACTGCCACCCCTACCACCACGGGGCCACTGTACCAAGTTAATAGGTGAGAAAACTGAGGCAGAATGGGGTGTTATCAGTCCCCTAGCAAACTTGTAATGGCAGCAAGATCTAACATGGGCCGGCCTGCATGCAAGATTTAGGTTCAAAAGCCGGCAACACCGATAGGCCTTGAGCATGTGATAGCAGCCGGACCCTGAATTGGTATCTGCATTGGAGTACAGTGCCCAAGTGACCTACGTGCCCCTCCGAGCTTCTGAGTAAGGGTGTCTGGAATGAGCCTGGTGGAAAAGAGAAGGCATAGGTGGAGCTGCGCCGGGGGGCTGAGTGCTGCCCCATCAGGTATACATCCTGATGTTCCCAGGCACGTGACCGTGAGCACCTCGGTGGTAACTCAGCAGCTGGTATCCAAGGCCAGTGTGAAGGCCCCCAGGGCCCGGCCTTACCGAGTGAGCACCGCAGATCGGAGCGTGCGGAAGGGTGTCACAGCATGCAGCCTTGAGGACCTCCTTCATAAGGTAGGGACCCCCTCGAGCTCCAGCAGATGTGGCAGTCTAGTCCCCTGTGGGGGGAGGCTTTCCTGCCCCATGCCAATGCCAGTGGGTTGGCAGCACCTGCCTGGAGCCGTCCGGTTGATGGTGATGTCTGTCTGGTGAGAGGAAGGGCAGTCTGTCATCCTGTATGTTAACAGTAGGCCAGTAATAGTTTCAGGACATAGTTCCTGCTGGATCTATGGGACAGGGTCATGCTATACAGTCTAGGCTGGTCTTGAACTCTGGGTGATCCTCGTGCCTCAGCCTCCTGAGTGCTAAGATTACTGGTAGACACCACCATGACGGCGAGTAGTTCTTAAACTTGTAGAATTGCTCCAAAGTGGGGGAGATGAGTCAAATTTTAGAGCCTCTCTTCCAGGGCAGTTCTGAAATCTGTCACCCGAGGTAGTAGCGGATAGTTTTTTTTCAGGTGCCCAGCACAGCAAAGAAAGAGGCAGGAAAAAAAAGGAAAAGGGCTTTATTATCTTGGAGGACATAGAAAGAATTTGGGGAAGAGAAGGAATTCTCAATTGGAACAAAGGGAGGCTGAGGCTTTTCTCGCCTTTTGCCAGGAGTGGAGTTTGAAGGGGATGTTTAGATATACCTGAAGGATCTGATTGGGGGGTCTTCCCTGAGGCGGCAGGAAGGGTAAAAGAAAATTGTACCCTGGGCTGAGTTGGAGAAGAAGGTGGTCTGGGGGAAGATGGGCTTTTGGTTTAAGGGCTTCAGCCATATTAGATGACCACCATGATGGTTTAGCAATTTATACTAGGGCCAGAACCTATCAGTAGCATTATAAAAGGCTTTATCCTCACCATAGCCCCAAGAAGCCTCCAGAGGAGAAAGCTGAGAGCACACAGCTCTCATGGGTGGTGTGGCACGAAAGAACACGCGCCAGTCCCTTGCCTCCTCTCATCTCTCAGGTAGCTTCTCCCCACCCCGCTGTGACCTCTTCTAACCCTGCTGTATCAGGCATGAGGCCATGTGCTTTGGTAGCCCACCACCAAAGGCTGTGGCACTCGGGGCTGGTGTCACAAGCCTAGGGGCCTGACAAAGTTAGACGCTAGGTTAGGTTTCAAGTTGCTGGAGTCTGCTTAATGCATAGACAACACAGTGGACCGAACTCTCTTCCTGACCTCTTCCCCATTTCTCTGACTTCGGTCTGTTCTTCTGGAGCCAATGTCCTCTCCTTTGGGAGGCCCCTGGCTGGGCTAGATTATGTGCCTTGAATCAAAAGGGCCCATCCACACTTTAATCTGGACTTGCCTTTGTGTGTGTGTGTGTGTGTGTGTGTGTGTGTGTGTGTGTGTGTGTAACAGGGGATTGAACTCAGGCGCTTGTGCTTACCTGGACTTGCTTTTGTTTTGTGTCCTGCCTCTGGGAACTACCTTCTTATGACAATGTCTCTTGTATACCTGGCTTTCCTGACTTCACCTAGAAGCTGACTGGAGCAAAGACCTACTACAGGCCCCTCTTGGCCTTTACTGCTGCAGTCTCTGGATTGGCTAGTTTTCCTAGTAAATTCTGCTTTATTTCAAAAGGATATTGGTATTCAGAGGTCAAGATCTAGGAGCTCGTTTGTACATTACTATTGGTGTGTTATTTATTCTACACCCTTCCCGTTTTAAGACACGATCTCCCTATGTGGTATAGGTTAGCCTCGAACTCATTATGTAGCCCGCACTGAACTCAGAGTGATCCTTCTGCCCAAGCCTCTAGAGCATTGGGATTACTGATGTGTGCCCTTTTTGAAGGATTTTCCCCAGAAAAATATATTTTCTAGTTGATCTGAATGAGAAAAGTGAGAATTCTGTCACTCTAAAATAATTTTATTTATTTATTTATTATGTATTTAGTACAGAGTCTACAGGGTCTCATTACACAGATCAAAATTGTAGAGATCCTTCCTGTTTTTCAGCCTCCCAAGTGCCAGGATTACAGGTCCACACTACCACACCTAGCTGTCTCAGAGTACCTGGGTCCAGGTGGGGCTGGCAGGGCAAGCTGGGGATGGAACCCTCCGGGCCCCTTCATCTGCCTAAGCTGGTGCTTTAATCTGCTAAACTATCTGGCTGGCCCTCTCCAAAATAATTAATTAGCATATAAAGGTTCTAGTCTATTCTTGCTGGGCATGGTGGCACACGCCTATAATCCCAGCACTTGGGAAACTGAAGCAGGAGGACTGTTGACGGTTCAAGACCAGCCTGGGCTACAAAGTGAGCTCAAGCCCAGCCTAAACTGCAAAAAAGACAAAAAAAAAAAAAAAAGAAAAAAAAAGAAAAAGAAAAAGTCTATTCTTTTGATATATAACTTAAACAGGATTATGTACTATATAGCCCAACTTTTCATCCTATGACATCTTTTTTTCTTTCCTTTCTTTCTTTCTTTCTTTCTTTCTTTCTTTCTTTCTTTCTTTCTTTCTTTCTTTCTTTCTTTCTTTTTCCTTCCTTCCTTCCTTCCTTCCTTCCTTCCTTCCTTCCTTCCTTCCTTTCTCTTCACAATGAGCTATATCTTCATTTATTTCCTTCTTTTTGGGGGGATGCGGGGAGACAGGGTCTCTATGGAGTGCAAGCTGGCCTTGAGCTTACTAGATAGCTCACACTGGCCTCAAACTCACAGTGATCCTCCTGCCTTAGTTTCACAAGTGCTGGGATTACAGCTTTGCACTACCACACATGGTCTCTTTTCATGATAATGAATACACTATGAAAATGTAATAAATGCTACACATGGACCACGTATTCTGCTGGGAGATGACATCATTTCTTCTAATCATAGCCCTAAGGTAGTTACTACTATTACCATTTTCCAGGGGTGGAGGCCAAGTTCATATCCTAATGGTAAACTCAAGGGGTTCTTTTTGGAACCAGGAATCAAACTGAGGACCTTGTACTGCCAGGTGGGCACTTATGTGGCTGAGTTATATCCCTGGTCCCCAACTCAAGGGCTCTTATGCCTAGTCTTACATTTAGTTATCATATCAACTCCAAGGCTAAATGTGCCTCATTTTTTTTAAAGGTATAACTAATTCCCAGAAATGAGATTCATTAAAATGGATCAATGGTATAAATGTAAGGGGTTAAAACTATTGAAGTAATACCCTATGTCCCATAAATATCTATAATTATGGTATGTCAACTAAAAATGTAAAAGGATTTTAAGAAGTAAAAAAAAAATGCAGAATGGGAAAAATATCTGCAAATCATGTATTTGATAAGGGTTAAGAATATATAAAGTAGTTCAATCCCTGGTTCTGCAAAAAAAAAAAAAAAAGAATATATAAAGAACTCTTAACCTTTGACCTATACAAAATATGTACAACCCAATTAAAAATGGGAAAAGGATTACAACTTCCATCCCAAGATGGGCAATCTGCCAATTTAATATAAAAATAAAAAATAAAATACTCGTGGGCTGGGGAGATAGCAGCAGTCTAAGCACCCACCTAGCAAGCACAAGGACCTGAGTTCGATCCCTGGTACCACATGCTGTGCCAGCCCCAGGAACCTGGGCGTGCCATGCCAGCCTGAAACCATATACGGTGGCACATGCCTGTAATCCCAAAGCTGGGGAGACTGAGACAGGAGGATCACTACTAGTTCAAAATGGACTAGCGAGACCTTGTACCAGACAATAAATAAATAAACAAACCAGGCAGGCACAATGGCACCTACTTCTAATCTTAGCTGAGGTAGCAGGAGGGGGAGGACTGAAAGTTTGAGGTCAGTCTAGGCAACTGGAGACCCTGACTTGAAATAAAAACATCAGAAGGGCTGGGCTGTGGCTCCGGGCAGAGGCTTGCCCAGCACACACAGGGTGCCGACTGCAGTGTCCCCATGCAGCCCAGTCGCTCTCCCTGGCAGCTGCAGGGTCATGGCACAGTGCAGCTCTTCCCCACACTGGTGCTGAGGCTCCAAGGGGCAGCAGAAGTGTCACTAACCTTCTTCCCCAGGTGCAGGACCTTTTGATGCTAAAAGACAAGCCCTTCTCCCTCGTGCTGGAAGAGGATGGCACAGCTGTAGAGACAGAGGAGTATTTCCAAGCCCTGGGTGGGAACACTGTGTTCATGGTCCTCCAAAAGGGGCAGAGATGGCAGCCCCTGTCAGAGCAGGTGAGTGCCTGCAGTGAGGGGAGAAATGGAGAGCTCAGGTGGAGTCCTGTGGACACCTACCACATGTTTGTCCTGCTGCAGGGGACCCAGTACCAACTCTCGCTCTCTGACAAGCCCTCCAAGAAGATTGATGTGGCCCGCATAACCTTTGACCTATACAAACTGAGCCCGCAGGACTTCATTGGCTGTCTGAATGTGAAGGCGACCCTCTACAACACCTACTCCCTGTCCTATGACCTGCACTGCTACAGGGCCAAGCGCATTGTAAAGTAAGTGACTTGGGACGAGCTGGGGACATGGTAGGAACCAAATAGTGGCAGAGCCCCTGAGGCTCAGGCTTCCCATGGTCTGGGTCTGGTGGGTGCCAACAAAGTGTGACAGTTAGCATTCATGTAGAACTTGTGACCCACATATGCCAAAGGGGACACATCCTTCCTGGTAGAGCCTGGATGCATTTATTATTACCTTCTTTTTGTTTGCTTTTGAGACAGGGTTTTGCTGTGTAGTTCAGGCTGCCCTTGCACTACTTTGTAGCCCAGGCTGGCCTTGAATTTGCAGCAGTCCACCTGCCTTAGCTTACTGAGTGCTGGGATTACAGACGTGAGCCACCGCATGCATAACCTTCAACCATAGAAAATTAGTTTTTTATATAAAAAAAGGAAGCTCTCCAAAGTAGTCTTCTAATGCATTTTTTTTTTTTTTTTTTTTTTTTTTTTTTTTTGTGGAATTGGGGATTGAACTCAGGCCCTTGCGCTTGCCAAGGAAGCACTTATTCTACTGAGCCATCTCCCCGGCCTCAATTTTTCTAAACTGAACATGTGTAAAAGATTTTACTTGGTACATTAATTCATGACAAGACTAGCAAGCGATTACAATCAGTTCATTTCAAAATCCCACACATATACAGATCCATCAATGATGATTAGTTAAATAAGTAGATTATTGCTAGAAGTGCTAGTGTGTACCTATAATCCCAGCACTCATGAGGCTGAGGTAGGAGGATGATCACTATGAGTTCAAGACTAGCCTGAGCTACATAGTGAATTCAAGGCCAACTTGACGCTGTCTCAAAAAGAAAGAAAGAAAGAAAGAAAGAAAGAAAGAAAGAAAGAAAGAAAGAAAGAAAGAAAGAAAGACCCAGATTTTTGGTGTTGGGGGAGGTATGAGGGATATACTGAGGGTTGAACCCAAGGTTTTCACATTAAGCTATACCTCTATCCTGTCATTTTTTCTTTTGAGACAGGGTCTTGCTAAGTCTGCTCCCGCCTCATCCCCTAACGTGCTGGGATGTGCTGGGGTGTGCACCACTCCTGCCTTGGCTTTCTTAATTTGCCCTCTGCTTACCTGGTCTCTGATGAGGACACTGAGGCTGCATGGCTGTGTTTGCCCAAGCCAACATCAGTGGCAGGCTAGAGCCTTTTTTTTTTTTTTTTTTTTTTGCGGAACTGGGGATTGAACTCAGATCCTTGCGTTTGCCAGTCAAGCGCTTATCCTACTGAGCCATCTCCCCGGCCCCAAGCCCATTCTTTTTTAAGAAAAATTTATTTGGTACAGAGTCTTGCTATGCAGCCTAGACTCGTAGTGATCCTCCTATCTCAGCTGCCCCAGCACTGGGATTATGGGCATGAGCCACCACGCCTAGTTTCAGCAGCCTGCAGAGTGGCACGCATAGCATGTCACACCGAGGATCAAACCTCAGTCCTTGCGCTTGTCAGGCAGGCGCTTAGACTGCCGAGCTACCTCCCCAGCCCTGGAGCCCATTCCATGGTCAGATTCCATCTCCCTCCAGCAGGATCAGCATATCCCATCCCTCTTGATCTGAGATTGCTGCCAGTATTTGATAGATGTCAAAACCTAGAGCAAGAAATTCCAGCCTTAAACTCAGTCCATTTAGACGAAGTAAAACTCAAAGACCTAAACAAGACCCTCCCCTCAAAAAAAAAAGACA